TTTTTGGTCATTGTCTTCTTTAGAAGCAGTTATAAATTCTTTTACTGCAGTGTTTTCTTCAGATTGGGTTTCCTCTCTATGTTTCTGTAGTTGATCGTTTGCTTCAGATGCTATGAGTTCTGAGAATTTTTTTTATTTCAGAAAATAATTCGCTGTGAGTTCCTCTCTAACTTTCTGCTGTTGCTTATTTACTATCGACACTATGAATTCGTACATTTGAGCTGAGCTAGTAGAAAAGAATTCCGCTCTGAGTTCCTCTATGACTCTCTGCTGTTGCTAATTTAGTATCGACACTATTAATTCATACATTTGAGCTGAGCTAGTGTCCTCTGCACTTGTTCTGGGTAGGCATTGGGTTTCTTCCATACGTTTCTGCATTTGATTCTTTGCTGCAGATGTTACTAATTCAGCGATTTCTCTTCATTTCCAATCTGAGTTCCTCTATACCTTTCTGCAGCTGTTTCTTTATTTCAGAAGCCATTGATTCATTGCTTTCAGCTGTGTGATTCCCAATTTGTTCTGTGTTAGTGTCCTCTGTACTTGTTATTGGTGGGCTTGGTTCTGAGATTGCATTTTGCTCCTTCTCGTTTTCATTTTGTGTAGCACTGTCTTCTGCCCTTTGTGGTAGATCTTTTTGCAGTTATAGCCTTAGCACTTAATGAAGTTCAGGTGCAGCTCTACAAAGTTTGGATTTATCCAGCTGTGCCTGACTTGGGTCTGCCTGCTGTACTCAGTTCTTTCCTGTTGCTGCCTTTGAGGGTGAACCTGTTGTGCCCCTCTGGCAAGATGTTCTGCTCCTGGACTAGCTTGATGGTTCTGTCCCCTACACTCTCTGCAGGGATTGTAGCTGAAGGGTTTCACCCCAGGCATGTATGCCAGGCCTGAGTTGAGTCTGGAGGGGATGAGGTGGAGTAAGGGGGAGAGGCAGCTCTCCCACACACTCACTGGGCCTGGACTAGGACTAGATCTGGGGGTTCCCATAATGGGACTGGGGGTTGCTGGAATGCAGCAGAAGTTCCTACTTGGCAGGCGTGGTAGGGGAGGTGGTATGGAGTGGTGGGGGGTCTCCCACGGTGATAGAAGAGGGTCTCACCCATGCTGCACCTGGGCTGGGACGAGTAGGTCCCGCCGGCACAGGGTAGCTGGACGTTCTCCCACACACTCACAGGGCCTGGGCTAGGATTGTGTTTGGGCATTCCCAGAATGTGGCAGAAATTCCTTCTAGGTGGGCGGGGTGGGGGAGGTTCTTCGGAGTGGTGGGGGGGCATCCCAAAGGGTGTGGAAGAGGGTCTCACCCATGCTGCTCCTGGGCTGGGACCAGTAGGTCCACTGGCGCAGGGTAGCTGGAAGCTCTCCCACACACTCCCCTGACCTGGGCTAGGACTGGGTCTGTCTTAGCCAATCTAATAGATACATTTTGATGTGTCATAATAATTTTAAAATTTATTTTCCCAGTATCTGGTGGTGGTGAAATCTTTTTATATGCTCATTTATCATCTTTATTTATTTATTTATTTATTTATTTTTTGACAAAATATCCATTCAAGTCTTTTGTCCATTTTTTTAAAATCGGATTTCTTACTGTATAGCTTTAAAGGTTCTTTTATATCTAGAATACTAGTTCTGGTCAATTATGTGATTTGCAAATATTTTCTAATAGTCTGTAGCTTGTAATTTCATTCTATGAACAGTATTATTTTGCAAACTGAAAGTTTTGAATTTGGTAAGATTGAACTTACGGTTTCTTTTATAAATTATTCTTTGGATATATGTGTAAGACCTTTGCTTGTTTCAGCAGCATATATATTAAAATTGGATTGATACAGAGAAGGTTAGGAGGCCCCTGTGAGAGGATGATATGCAAATTTGTGAAGTTTCTTGTTTAAAAATAGAAAGAATTTTGTATAATCCAGTCACTAAAGTTTACTGCATTGTATTCTGCCAAAGGTATTATAGTTTTATGTTTTACATTTGCAATTTATTTTGAGTTGATTTTTAAGAGTGACATGTAGGTTGAAGTTTATTTTTTTGTGTATGAGTGTCAAGTTGTTCCAACGCTGTTTTTGAAGAAATACTTTTTCTCCATTAAAATGCTTTGTGCTGCTGCTGCTACTTCTTCATCTTTGTCTTTGTCTTCGTCTTCCTCCTCCTCCTCTTCCTCCTGTGCTCCTCCTTGTTCTCCTAGTTGTCGTCCTTGTCCTCCTCCTCCTCCTGCTTCTACTACTTCTTCTTTTCATTGTTAAGTTGCTGAATTGCTCAGCCTGGCCAGGAACTTCAGTCTTCCTGCTTTAACCTCCCACAGTGCTGGTCTTACAGGTGTACACCAACATGCTCTGCACATTTGTGTAACCAGTTGGTCCTGTTTATGTAGTTCTTTGTCTAGAACAGATGTGTACTGCTTCCTTGCTGTGCACCAGGCAGTATCTTTGCTTTCTTTTCTTATTCTTGTATTTGTTTCCATATTTTTGAACATCTGTGTTGAGATGATATTTGAAAGATTATTTCCTAAAGGCATTTTCCTTTATTTCATTTTTTAATTGATAGGATACACAATCTAGGAAATACCTCCAATGTATTTTTTTTTTATATGTATATATTTTTTGCAGACCCGGGGATTGAACTCAGGTCCTTGTGCTTGCCAGGGAAGCACTTATTCCACTGAGCCATCTCCCTGGCCCCTGTTTTTCTTTTTAACTCAGAGGAAAATTGAAAAACAATCCAAAAATTATGTATCTTTTATGTTTTATCTTCTATTTCTCTGGGAATGCTATTTTTATTACTACATTTCAGCCATACATAATGATCCCATTCATCATAGGGAATTTGTACTCATAATATATCTTAATTCTTTTTTTCTCATTCCCCTCTCCTCCCTTCAGTCTTGTTTTCCTCCATTTTAAAAGCTTGGTTTTCTTTTTCTTTTTTCCATTTTTTAAAAACCCTTTTTCTCCTTCGCCTCTTCTCCCTCATCGCCTTATTTGCCTCATCGCCTTTCACATTTGAGCATGTTCTTCCTACTTCCCAATATCTGTCCTCTGATGTGCTCATTATTTACCCATTGAATTCCTCACACAAAAGAAACAATGTAATATTTAAATTTGTGTCTTATTTCACTTAGAATTATGTCTTTAGGTATATCCACTTACCTAACAATGCTTATTTTTTAATGAATTAACATACTGTTAATATGTGTATGTCAGTCAGTTAGAAGTTCAGTTTTCATCTAACTTTCATTCACAGTATGGTTAACGTTGGCTGGGCATGATCACACACACCTGTAATCCCCACACTCCGGGAGACAGATAGGAAGTTTGGGAGCTCAAACCCAACCCAGGCAATTTAGTAACTTAGTAAGATCTTGTTTCAAAATTAAAAATACATAAGAGGCTGGAGATCTCTCACTGTGAAGGCCCTATAATTTCCTTATGGTTACGGGGTCACTAGATTTTGTTTTTAATTGTTGTTATATTATCATGTAATAAAAATAATCTTCATGAAGACAGAAAGGTGCTGTGTATTTTATTTTATCCAGACACAAGCATCTTGGCTTTGGGTTTCCTTCTTCATGATGTCCTGTAACATACAAGACCTGAAATGACTCACTTACCAGGATCATTTTTTTTTTTTTTTTTTTTTTTTTTTTGCCAGAAACAATGTGGAGCCCAGACTATTTGACTGTTAATCTCCTCCCCATCTCTCCTCCCTCTTCCTGTTTCCCTTCCCCCTCCTCTTCGTGTAAACTAATTCTAGACTTTAAGGGGAAGAGTAGAATTGCAAGCTGAGATGCAATTTGTATATTGTATATCATAGTATTGGTGTGTATTGCTGTCATGTGTATTGTTGTTATGTAGATTATATGGGTCATTTTAGAATTCAAACACTGACTAGAACATTTTTAAAAATCCACTCAGAGAGCCAACCAAATAGTTCAGCAGATTAAAGCACCTGCAAGTAGGCTCAGGGACCAGGGGTTCAATCCCCCAGGCCTGCTGTGCCAGCCCTGCCCTCAGGGCACACTGAGAGGGCAATTGAGACTGGGCATGGTGGCACACACTTGTAATCCCAGCTTTTGGGAGGCTGGCTGTAAACAGGAGGATGACTAAGAGCCCAATCTAGTAGTGAGACCCTGAACACCCTGTAGACTCTTAAAAAAAAAAAAATCCACTCAGTACTAGTAGTCTTCTCCCACCCCCCAAAACTGTGGTGCTATTGGGTAGCTAATGCTCTGTGTAATATTTAAAGACTCCTTTATTGTGGCCTTATCATATCACCACACATTGGGCAAGTCTTTGTAGCAAGTGTGGATATGGGACTCAAGTTGTGAAAGTAAATGTGTACGCTATAGTATTGACTCTTTAAGTGTGGATTTCTTTCAGAAGATCTTGGATGAATTTATTTTCACTGTAATTAAAAAGTATAATGTTAAACCATTTATTAGGGACACCTTACTGTGATTTCTTGTGTTAAGATAGTTAGATACATGCTGTATCTCAAAAAAGAATGATTGAATACAGAAAAAAAAAGTGGCTCAATTAATCTCACGTAAATCAAAACCTAAAAGTAATATACATCCTTTTTCACAACTTCGAGAGTATTAAATAGGTATCACTCATGTTGTAGGACTTTTTGAGGCACTATTGAATGTATGTGGCTTTGTTAGCATAGATTGGCCTTGCATTTTCTCAAATATGCTAGAGTGTATTTTAAAAACTGTTACTTATATTCCATTTCTTAAAGAATTGGGGTCACCAAAATTGGCAAGCGCTAAGCATGCTAATTAGTTCAACATACTGACCAATTCTCTGAATTATTACTTCAAAGAAGTGTGTGGACAGGGATGAAATTAGATTTGGGCATTTTTCACTCTAGTTGTTTTAGGATACCATGGTTGCTTTGATCTGTAAATAACAGATGTTTTTTCATGCATGGTTCAGGATACTTAAAACATGTTCACAATTTTGTCTCAGTGTTGGGACTCATCATTCTTATCCTCAGTTGGATATGCAACTTTTTTAACTATAGCTACTTTAGTGTTTTTTGTTTTTTCTTTCTTTCTTTCTTTTCTTTTTTTTTTTTTTTTTTTTTTTTTTTTTGCTACAACTACTTTCGAAAAGATTTTTGACTTTGTGTTTGGTAGCTAAAGCTAGCATATTTGAAATTTTTCCTAATGTATGTATTACCTTTATTTTAAAAAATAAACTGATATGACCAAGTTATAAAGCAGCATATAAAAATACATTGTCAGTTGCTCAGTATATATTGACTTAATTTAAATGTCAGGTTTAAAAGAAAACAATATATATTTACATTTATGCATATGTTTATGTTGCATATGCACATACAGATGTACAAAACTATGTTGCATATATGTATATGCACAGTTGTATGCTTTTAGATATTATGTGATAAAAAGTTTTGCTTTGTTTTTGTTAGCTAAATATTTGTATTTAGGGGCTGGCACGATAGCTCAGTGACTAAACTGCCTGCTTAGGCAAGCTTTGGCAAGGGCAGGGACCAGGGTTCAATCCCTGACTCCAACCTGGGGGCAGGACCGAGCCAGCCACACACACACACACACACACACACACACACACAATTATATTTAACTTCAGTATGTGATAACAAGCATTAGTGTCAAAGCTAGTAGACTGTATAGAAATACTGTTTTTACTTTTGGCTTTATGTGAGAAAACTTTAGTATTAAGTATTTTTATGATGAATGGCATCAAATGAATGGTAGAATGGTAATTAGGATAAGAAGGTAAAAATAACAGGTTGAAAACTGCCCCCCCCCATGATACTGGGGATTGAACCCGGGGCCATTATTACATCCCTACTTGTTGACCTACCCCTGTTTTAAAAAAATTTTGAAATGGAGTCAGTGTCTGAGTTACCCTCCAATTTGAGATTGTCCTACCTCAGCTTCCCAGAGTGCTGGAAGTATAGGTATATGCTACCATGAGTGGCTAAACTGAGAAATAATCCTTTGTTTCTGCCTACCATACTCCCTGATCAGAGGTCTTGAGTGATATAGCCCCTGCTCCAGCTGACATAGGATGCAATAAAGTCAGATAGTGTGCTCTGTGTAACCTCTCATTTATTTTAATTTAATTTGTTAATATTTTCTTTTTTGGTTTTTTGAGACAGTTTTACTCTGTAATCCAGGCTTGCCTTGAACTCGTGGGAATCCTGCCTCACTCTCCCAAGTTCTGAGATTACAGGTGTACACCACCACACCCAGAAACTCTTCATTTAGAAATAATATTAGGAACAATTATACCATGTATTAATTGTAGAAGTGAGGTACCCTTTTGTTTAGTAAAGCCATTGTTGTTGTTCATTAAACTACATGAGGTTTTACAATGCATTTCATTAATGGCTTTTTTATTAAAATGTTACTGTAACAGTGGCCTCTTTCCTATATAAGACATGCCTGAGTTCTTGTTGCACCACTTACTGCCTTGTGCCTTCTGACATTCTTTAATCATTATCATCAATAATTTCCTCATTTTAAAAGTGGTTGGTAAACTATGACCTGTGGACCAAATGCAGAGCCCAGCCTATTTTTGTAATAATGCTTCATGGCATGTAGCCTCACGCCTACATTTATGTGTTGTCTGTGCGCTGCCGTATTACAGTGGCAGAGTTGAGTAGTCGTGACAGAGATCAGTTAGCTCACAGAGCCTAAACTGATTTCTAGTCTTTCATAGAAAAATGTTCTGAATTTTGGAATAGGTGGTTTCTAAGATCTGTGCCCTGCCTGGAGTGGATTTCCTTTGTGTCATCCTAACTTTAATTTTAAGTTCAAAAATCTTTTCTATGACCAACTTTGCCTCTTAACAAGAGAATGAAAATGCCCACTGGATTGTTGATACTCAGAATGTGG